CAAGATAAGAAAATGGTATTTCTCTCTTGATGAAATTCCAGTTTTTGATAGGTATAGTTTTGTGTAAATTTGTGAATTAAAAAAAATGAAAAAAGCTGTATTAAACATTTGGTATCTTTTTGTTTTTCTTGGCTATTTCTTAAAATCCATGAAAACATAAAAGTAAATCTGTTAGTAATCAGCCTAAATTAACTTAACGAAATGCGTCTTAATTATGCAATTTGATTTTTGGTTTTGAAATGTATTCTTTAAAATTAAAAAAGGATAGAGTTTAAAGGCTATTTTTTTAAGGTCCTAGCTCTCAAGCATGTTTCTGATAGGAACCGCATTTGGATCGGAGCTAGTCAATCCAATCATGATGTTCCTCTCTTATGAGTTGAAAGAACTGGAACAAGGATTGGTTATAAATAATGCTACAGTAAGAGCTAGAGTTCTGGCGTATGTTGGTAAGATAGTGATTTAGATTTATTTCAGTATTTATTTTAGACATGATTGAAATAAGCAACAAAATAGAGCTCTCTATAGATACTAGAATAATAAGACCAATTTAAATGCATAATTATTATTTAATTATTATTTACACTTACAGTTAAAGCACGCAAATGATACTACAGTAGTTCCTTCTGATATGGTAAATATTAAAGAGCTTGGCAAATTAACCTTTAGGTTCAAATGAGGGTTTAAACTCTTAGAGTTTCCTCCTTGCCATCATCAATGGGCTTCAATAATTCAAACTTAATTAGGTGACAATTTGGAGCAACACCATATTGGTGGATTTTCTGTCTGTTTCAGCTCCAATTTTGTTTGCAGGTCTACATTATTGGCAGACGCGAACTCCAACCTTCGAGTGTGTGAGGTGGGGAAGACTTCACTGCAGATTTTACTTGTACATACCACTTTTTCAACAATTTTCAAATAAATTTGTATTTATTTAGGGTTACGTTAGGTTAAGACACTTATTGGGCTGAGCGCTGCAGCTAGGACAGGCTAGGAGGCCGAAAGCTGCGGCCACGGGTTAGTTTAAGTTATGCTTTCTTTTATTTAGGGTTAGGTTAGGCTAAGTTATTTTCTGGGTTGAGCGGTGCAGCAAGGACATGCTAGGAGGCCGAGCGCTGCGGCCACAGGTTAGGTTAAGTTATGACACTTATGACACTGGGCCAAGCGATGCAGCTTGGATTCAATGTTGATCTACAAATGTCATCCCCCCATAATCATGCTTTTAATTAAGCATGGCAGTGAAGTCTTCCCCACCTCTCACACTCGACGGTTGGAGTTCAGCGTCTGCCTACATTATTGCACTTGACGATCTCCATCTTTTCCTTCTTCCTCCATTTATAAACAAGATTCCTAAACCTCATTCTAAGCTGAAATCGCTAACAACTTACCAACCTTTAATTGATTAATTAAAAATCACTGAAAAAATATGCAAAATTGACTCAAATACTTCTCTTTTACCTAAAAATAGTAAACCTAACGTTTTCCTGGATAAAGCTAATACTCTCCTGAATAAATTGGGAAAAAAATATTTCTTTTTATTTAGGAAATGCCAGATAAAGCATTATGATCTACAAGAGGAAACAGGACTTGAGGTTTTAACTAAATGGACCCCAGAAACATATGATGAAGGAATGGAAAATAAATCTTTTAAAGAATGTCCATTCAATGTTCTGGAGGGCTTCCATGCTGTTAATAACATGCCCCTCGATTTCATGCATGACTTCTTAGAAGGTATTTCAATAAAAAATTATTTTTTACTTTTATTCAATCCTAGAAATCATCCCACATCTAAATTTATAATTTATAAGACTTTTTATTGTTTATTTACATTTTATTTAAATGGTTCTAAAAACTCGTGCATTGATAAAGATACCTAATATGCAAAGGAAAATTTGAAAATTATTTTTGTCACTCTTTGGAAAATTAGATAAATTTTCTCGTCTAAGAAATAATAAATTAAAGGAAAGAAACCAAACATTTAAGGGGCTGCCGCTCAAGATATACTGGCTTGTTTACACATTCTTATGAAGAACTATGGGTTTAGCCTGGAAGAGTATAATGATTAATGATAAGGTAAATGATTATTTATTAATTTCCCCTTATTTTCTTTCCTTAATCCTTAATCAAGTCAAATACTTTTTTAAAAATTATTTGATATTATTTTTGAAAATATGAACAAGGATTTGTATGCTGGANCAATTTTGAACATGAATTTTTTATATATTTTTCATAAAGTTTAATATTTTGCATAATTTGCATGTACAAAATTGATAGGAGAGGTGATATTATGAAATTGAAATGTTTAATAATATCTAGGAGTTGTTGGCTACCAAATGGTTTGGCCCAGAGGCTCGAGACAAGCCAATGGTTATTGGTGACAAGAATACAAAGCTACCAGGAAAAGCCTTGAGCGTTGCAACTCATGTCAGGCACATTTGTTACTTTCAGAATCTTATAATTTTTTATAATTAAGTCTGCTTTGAGGATAAATGACAATTTGGATACTTTCTTTCTATTGATTTCCCCAAATTCAAGGGAAAAAAATCAAACAATCATTCCTTATATACTTATTATAAGTGGTAGGGGGGGGGATTTACATTTTGACCTTGTGGCAAGTAATTTTTAATGAGTTTCATCATATAGTTATGAAAATATAACAAAATGTTAGAAATTTGCCCTTCATAATGAGAAATCTTTTACCAGAAGAGCACTACAAATATATCGATTTTGATGATGATGAGGTAAAAATATTTTCCTTCAAGGGACTGTGAAGGAAAAATGAAAAGTGTTATAGGATGAAACCTGAGCATCTCAGGCGTTGAACGATACATCTATCTGATGTTTCTATCTCGAGAAATTTAAATAAAAATTTATTCGAACATTCATATATATGCATTTTTGTTTAAAAGTTGTAGTATAAAACATATCATATTCCACAAATACGAAACCAATCTGAAAACGACGATATCCCGCAGAAACCTGAGAATCTAAGGTTTGCTCCTGTTATAATTATTCAATTTTTACAGACATATAAATACTATTATCAATTATATCTATTAACCATTAATTTTATAAGTGGCTATTTCCTTTCATAAGACATGTGAAATTAATGTTTTTTTTGATATTCGCATTATTCCGTTAATTTTAAGAACTTGCCGTTTGTTAACAGAATGTTGCACAGAGAAGGAATTTATCAGGGACATATGAATTTTAAATTATAATTTAGGTCAACCAAAAATGTAAAGCATGCAAATGTATTTGATTCAATATTTTATATATACGTTTTTGAAGATAGAGAACATAAGAGAAGATGATTATCCTTGGGTTCTGATTCTTCTCCTTCAAATGATTCAAGAGTATTTGTTTGCAGGTTGGATGAATTTTGTTGATTATTAAAAAAAATTAAGTATCAAATACTTATTGTATATTATGCACAAGATGAAAAGCTGACTTATTTTAACAGATTCTGTAGCAGATTATCAGATTGATTTAATGGAACACTATATTCAGCAGTATTTTTCAGGTAAACAAAATTAAATAGTTGTATTTGTGTTCTTTCCCAAAGTATTTTTCCCAAGTGAAAATTTTCCGAGTGGCAACTTCCTGAATTCCTGTCTGTCCTAGCCGCAGCGCTAGGCTCCCCCAGCCTGTTCTAGCCATGGTGTTTGGCCCCCTAGCCCATCCTAGCCACAGTGCTTGGCCCCTACTGTAATTTAATTGTTAAATGTTATTAATACATATAATAGTGAGAAGGAAGTGCACCACGATATATCCTGGCAAACTCCCAAGAATCAAGCCCAAACATCATTTTATGGTATGTCTAAATGATTTTCCTATTCTTTTTTGATAACAAATTTAAGTATAATTAAAAATTTTTTTTTATTTTTTTTTTATTTGTTATTTTTTTGGTCTAAAATAATGTAATAATGTTGCCCATGTGAAAATTGGTTTTATACTGGTTTTCTCAGCCAAATGTTTTAAAGTAATTGAGTCTTTGCCACAAACTCTGGATTTATAATCCTTTTGTCAAATTAACCCAATGGTGTATACCTTAGATATTTCAAACTTTGAATTCTGTAAGAACAAAAATCTAAGTTTGAAAAAAACGTTCCTTTAAATATTTGTAGAACTAGAAATTTGCACAAAACTTTTTGTTTGAGACATTTATAAAGAAGAATTTGGATTTTGGAATAATGAGTTTGGGGAGATAATATTATATAAAACAGAGAACTGATCAAATCAATGTCATTTGTAGGTTCACTATCCAGAGCAAATTCGACAGTTTGGACCACTACTAAGGGTATGGACGGCAAGATACGAAAGCAAGCACTGTGAGGAATGTATAATAAAAAATGGTCAATAGCATGGAATCCCAAGTCGACTAAGCAAGCTAATTTTAACATTCTAAATTATGTCCCCACTCAATACCTTGACTCTTAATTATTCATTGTCATTTAGGACACAAATACTGTTGATGCCTCTAGAAACTTCAAGGTACCTTGTTTTCACCACGTAACCTCTATTTATTGTTAAATGTTAACAATGTATCTTTAGCACAATTTATTTAATTTATGAATTTGATTATGCATCGCTCCCTGTATAATTCTTGAACAGTTTTTCATAAATACTATTTATTTTATTAAATACCAGGGGCAAAAAGAGCATTTGTGTAGGAGGGGGGTACATGTTGCACGCATTAGCGCGCAAAATAAAATTTGTGTGCACCCCCCCCCCCTGGCAACATTGTGTACTCCCTTAAAAACCCCTTTTTTGAAATGTTGATACCTTTTTATCTATGTAAACAATACCTTTTTTAACTATGTAAACTATTCGATCATATTCACACTTCCATATTACAAATTTTAACAAATTATTTGTGTGCCCCGCACGCGTAGGGGGCCCAGCCCCTCCTCGTAGGCCCCCGTTTAATACTTAGATCACATTTTGGCAATGGGGGATTTATAATCTTAGAAAATTTTTCATTCATTTCATATTTTAGAATATTCCTTATTTGGTATCTAAGAGATGCCAGTGGAGGCTTGCACACTCAATGTATGAAGGATTGTTTACTTCGTCTCCAGCTAGGTAAAACCAAATGTACACTAACATTTATAAGATTGAAATAAGAAAGTAATTTTTTTTTTTTTTTTGAGACGATATAAAGGATGAAAATGATTTTCTTAGGATTGAAAATGGACATCTGTATTACAAGAACACATTGTACACTGATAAAAACTCATTAGTAGGTGGATTTTTTTTAATAATGTAGTTGTGTAACAAAGTTGTTTTGTAACAATGTTTTCCTTTTTTATTCCATGGATGACAAAAATCAATATTTTTAACAATTTTTAAATTGGATATTTTAATTCAATTGAATTTTACAATATTTCAAAATTTTTATATGATATCAGATGGAAATATTTTGAGACTATATTCCTTTTCTTCATTTTTATTTCTTGATTGTCCATCCCTCGTCCATCATTCAATCATACTTAGGCTAATTTTGAAAATAAAAAGAAATGAATTTTTTGAATGTCCTTGCAGTTAGCTGAATTAAAAGAAAGAACTATTTTTCTGAATCTTGGAACTATTCTTAATTCTTGAATGCAGGAGGAATATTTTCTAACAATAATTCAACAATAATAAATGTTAAATTAGTTAAACTTTAACTGAATGTACAATTAACGTGAAATTAGTTAAACTTTAACTTAACAATCTAACTTTTAGTGTTGAAAGTAAGGAGAGACAGTAATCTCACAATTGGAGTTGTAAACGGATATAGTTTTGCTGGTGGAGATCCATACCTACAAGTACGGGTATATTATGCCAAGCTAGGACCATATAGGTATCAAGGAGAGGGATTATTAAGTAGTTATTAGAACAATGTTTCAAAGTTTAACCACGCGGTTTGATTGCTAATTTCCACAATTTACATGTTGAAATCCAATGTTTTCCATAAGTTTCAGAATTCCCCCCCACCCCCATTCAATAAATGAAATCAAATAAGCTCTTTTCTTTTTCATATTTTTTTTTGCATTATTTATGAATATATGGAAGGTATTTTGAATGTGAGTGCTGCACAGGCTGCATTGGTCAATGTGGTTCAGTACAGCTGGCTAGCTGTTACTTAAAGAATCTACATATTTGGAGACCTTTATATTACAGGTAGCTCTCATTCGCAATATATACATCGAAGGTATTCAAATAAAAAACTTTTATAACCTTTTCTAAACTCTTTTTCAGGGGATCTGAATCATACTTTGTCTTCTTCCTTCATGGAGCTGTCTCACTAGATGAAATTGAAGTAGAAGAATAAAGTCGACGGATATTTACCAAATATTATTCTGTTCCAGTATTCCTATAGTTTTTTTTATTGTATAAATAACATGGCTTATTTTAATTATATATAAATTTATCAAGTGATGATTAAGCAAATTTAGGGTCTTTAAAAATTGTCTATTTAATCGTTTTGTTTTAGAGGATACATTTGTAGCTTTTTGGGAACACCCAATTATTGTATATGATTGAGTCTATCATTTCTATCATTTTCATTAATTACTTTTGTTAAGATTCAGTTCTTCAGAAAAATTGGAAGCTCGAAATTGACGAAGAATGTTTGAAGCAACTGTTCTTTCATCTTCTGAGGATGAAAATGAAGAAGTCTACCATCTAGAAACTGAGGTTATAACTGTTAGGTTAGTTTTTAAATTATTTAAATTTAAGTAAATTAGTAATTTAATTAGTTCTAAATAAAGCATAAGGTTTAACCTAAAATTTTCTGCAAAATTTTTCATTTTGAAATAAATATAACGGTCATTTTTAGAGTTCCAGGAGTGGCCATGAAGTCGGGGAAAAAATGTAAAAGTCAATTTGTTATTACTGCTCAAACTCTTCTTCCACATGATGCAGCGCGGTAAGATTTTTGAATGAATGTTGGTAAAAAGCATAATGTGACTAAGAAATAAGAGCTTATCAAAATCAAAAAAGGCAAATTAATTTAATATTTCCTTGATAACTTATTTTTTATTTCTATTTGTTATTATTTTTTGCTATAATTACGATTATTCATTGGTTTTATGAAAAACGAGTCCGTGGGTTTCCGAGTTTAAGAAATATAACTTAACTTTGAACCTTGAACAAATACGCGTCCGTCGTCTAATCTTAAAGACTTAAACATTTTCTCCAGGTCAAGAGTTTTAGAATTTAAAATCAATGGGTTTCTAACTGTATTTTAAGTGATTTAATGTACATCACTATTTTATTACAGACATGTTACTGTTTTATATGATACTAGACTTTTATAGGTCCGTCCTTCTATTTCATTTGTAAACATTTTCTCTTTCTATACATGGTAAAATAAAAACAAAAAAATCGCGGATTGGATACAATCAGACAAACAAACAGACACCCAAGCAAAGTGAATAGATAGAAGAATTATTTTTTAGTCTTCCAGAGGGTGAAGTTATAGTTGCCAAAGAGGATCGGAATTTTTACGTTGGTAACAAAAGGTAATTATTTTTATTGAAAAAAAATTAAATAGAATCAATGAAAAAATGTGAGTATGTAATGTTTCACGAAAATGAATGAATAAATTTTTGAATCAATATATTATCCCCCCCCTTTCCTTCAAAAAATATAATTGGTTTTCTTTCCAGGTTTAGTACTGCAGGGATTTTAAAGTTTCAACATTTCTATCAGNCCAAGAAATGACTCCATTATTTTATTTTACTTAGAGTGGAAGTGTTAAAAAGGATCCCAGCAGAAGTATTCGCATTAGACGATCAAATAGTACCAGCAGTACCAGCACAAGATCAAGTCATAGAAGCTACAGAACCTATGAACGATGAGAAAGCTGCAGATGTACATGTGCAAGAAGAAAGGAGACTGCCAGAGTCAGAAAAAGAGAAAAAAGAGGTTAATTTTCGTGATTCTAGTTGTCACAAATTTTTAGAGAAAATAATAAAGAAATAAATTATTAATCACTGATAAGAATTGAAGATAATGACTTGTAAAACCGTTATGAATTTTTCGTATTTCCTAGGATCATAGTGATATTGTTGGGCTGTTCAGAGAGCAGTTTCCTATTGCAGAACAGATATTTCAACACGATGAGGACAGTAAACAGCTTATGATAAATAATGCTAAGGTTCAGGTAAGCACATTCATGCATAAACATTTTTTTTAATTTGTGTCTTATCATTTTTATCCATTTCTTCTTTTTTCATAATTTCTACTAGATTTTTTGTAATTTATTAATCTCAAAGATGCAAAGAATAACTGTGCAGTACACTTTAAACATGACTGCGTGATCATTCAGGGCATTTCCGTGGTGAGGCGTTTCCATAGCACCCCTTGACCCTTGAAAGGCTTTTTTTTAAATGAATAAGAAATGAGATCATATCATTTTCATATTGTAAAGTCAAAGTAATAAATGATTACTTGCCTCTTTTAGTTAAGCAGTACTCCCTTAAAAGCTCAAATACACTTGTTAAAAAGGTTAGCCTTTATAGTGTGCATTGACAATGTAATAAAAACAACCACATAAACAAAGAACCCCCCAAAAAAAATGTTCGCCTCCGGCGCGTCATATTGCACCCCCCCTGGACAAATCCTGGCTACGGGCCTGTATTCAACAATTACATATGTGCATTTCTTCAAATAACTAAGAATAAATCCTTGATCAATCAAAGAGTTAGAAGTTACTGTTGTGAATTGGATACAACACTCTGCAAATTACGCAAACAGTCCCTTTAAGCGAATATTGACGCTTAATTCCAGTTCTAGAATTTTTAAAAATACCAATATTTTATACATAAAAATATAAAAATATTTATTTTAGGAGAACAATATAAAGGTATTTATTTTAGGAAAACAACATAAAGGTTTTCAAACGAACCAAGCAAGCAATTGTGGACCGAGCCATAGGTATGAAAACATCAACATGAAGGTTTATATTTCTACATTTCTTATTAAATCTAGTCTGACTGCGCAGCGTTGCCCAGGTTTACTATTGAAAGTCATTAGTTATTCCCGCCGTTTATCCAAGCTTATTAAGTTATTATTAAATTATGATTTTTACGTTTTCCTTCACTTATTGTAAAAATTTGTGTTTCACGAAATTCGCGAATTTTGATTAAATTTCTAATTTTTTTTTAAAAGTCTATTTTTATCAATAAGTTTGGAACCTTTTAAACAAAAAATCCGTATCATTTGGTCGGATCCGGATCCGGATCCGTATCAGGAAACGTTGATATGGATCCGGATATAAATTATAACCTTGCATAACATTTAATAGGGAAAATCCGATTCACAGAATCAAAAGTTACCTCGGATCCGGATCCGGATCCGGATCCATCATCACGGATGCGGATCCGCGGATCCGGATCCGGATCCGAATCAAAATGATATGGATCCGAAACACTGTTTAAAAGTGAGCTCCACAGAAAATGTGCGAACATCGGAAACCCAATTCTTTTGCAAATAAATGACAATTTTAGTCGAGGTTCACAGACTCTGGACGTACAACACGACTTCCTTACCAACACAAAGATTTTGGTCGGCAATTCTGAAAGTTCTCGAATGTATCTACCCAAATATGTTTCAAATAGATGGAGGTATGTCTCGAGTTTTTCAATATTTATCCAAAAACTAGCTGTTAAACAAATTTTTTTTTTAAAATCTTTTTTTTACCTATGTTATCCCCCGGGTACCCATGGGTTTCCTCAAAAAAATTCCGCCCATTTGGTCTAGCTGGTTGGCCAGCTATAGTTAATATTTATATATACTTACATTTCATACATAAAAATTAAGCCATACTGATAAGTCCAAATAAGAGGAAACGCTGTGTCTATGGATATATATATATATGAGCGAAGAGCTTTATAAGAAACAATAAAAATCTAATTTTGAATAAAAATGTTTTTCAGTCATCCTGTTGGAGGGCGGGCAAATCTTTTGTCCCCCTATTGTAAAGAAGGCAAATCTTCCCGTGATGATGTACAGAAAGGGAAATTAAGCATTTATTTTAATATAATAATCTTATATAGGAAGAAATTAAAAAATAAAAGGTTAGCTGAACAATGCTGTTTATGAGAAATCACTAAAAATATGTTAGGGTCACATGGTTTTTGTCTTTAAAAAGTGTATAGATTGCATAGATATTGGTTTGAACAAAAAAAGCTTAACAAAGTTTTTGTGAAATATAAAAATTAGAAATTGTAACTTGCTAAAAATGCTTTATTTACTGTAGTATGCTCAACTTTATGACTCGCAAGGAAAGATTAAAGATGCCATGAAGAAGAGGGAGTTTGATGTAGGAGGTATTTTTAAAGAGTAGATCAAACAGTTAAATAAACCTTTTTCTCTTTAAACTTTAAATAATCAGTTTATGGCTTTTTTAGGAAATTAGTCAACCGCCCACCAGCTGTATTAAGACATAAAAAATAATACATGCAAAGATAATTTGTTTTCCTCATTTTTAAGGAAATGTTATGCTTAAATCAAATTTAAAACGAATTTTGAAAAAAATCAAAATCACATGAGCTTTTGGCGGATGTCTCAGTTTCAATATACCCAGCTAGCCAAATTGCGCAAAAAGCTCGCAATTTAAACGTCACTTTTGGCATTTTTACGTAAATTTTACGTTGACATTTTGGCTCTTTTTACGTCATGAAAGACGTAAAATCGCACACTTAGCTACGTAAATTTATTGGTTTTAGTAGACGTAAAATTTACGTAATAATATTATACAAATTTACGCCAAAAATGCGCATTTTTATTTTCTCAATTACCAAAATTTATGCAATATTTGATGCATGCAGATAGGCCATCCATCCCTGAGTACCGATATGGTACTGTCTCTGAACTGTTTCCATTCATCCGGAATACAGTTCAACATAGAGATTATAGCGTCAAGCTTTATACTTGTATGAGAGTTATGAAAGATTATATAAAACTTTTTGATAGAAAATTCAGTGCATTTTCCTAATAAAAATGTTTTATTTAAAAAAATTTAAAATAATTTAAAACCCAAATCTTGACTTCTAAATGATATATTTTTAGTAAAAAATTTAATCTGATCCTTTTTACTTTTTTTTAAATTTTACATGAAACAAATAGAGACACCTAGCGGTGAAATTTGGTACTAAAAACCAGTGTACTATATAGCACTGTAAATTCTCTGCCCAATTATCCCCCCCCTTCCCACCCTTATCTACATATCACACGGCTTTCTATATAATATAACATTGCTGCACTCTGCACTATGCACACACACCTGGGCCACTCAATTCTTCAATATTTAAAACACTCAAAACATATGCGTAAAAAGAGCGCAATTTTTACGCAATTTTAATGCTAACAAAGACAACTTAAATTCTTTTTAAAAGTTTATTTTTTCAATTTTTTGGGAAAATGCAATATATGCCGTATCGGAAATTTTAGATATTTCACAAATAATTTAGATTTAGAGTTTTAGGGAATTACGCAAATTGAGCGTATTTTTACGCAATTTGTATACCTGAAATAAAATGATACACATCTTCACAAATTCATGATATTTTTACTTAAAGCTGGGTTATAAAATATTTTCTTTAGAAAAATTAGATATTTACACTAATTTGAAATCTAGTCATACGCAAATTTGCGTTTTAATTGCGCAATTAGAGCCAAAATAATATGCGACCACGCTATCTACGCAATTTGGCTAGCTGGGTAGATAATCCATTCTGAAGAACTTGTGATTATGATTTTTAATCTATTATTAGGGGAGAAGATCAGTCGAAAGAGATTTAAACTGGGGAAGGGAGGAGCCTGTCCGTCAAAGTATTATTCAACGGTACACATATTATGAAATTCTTATTTCAAGTTTATTAACATTAAACTTATTAACACGCTATATTAAAGTTAATTGTAGATCAGAAAAAAATCTTTTATGTTTGTAGTGAAGAGCTATGAGATCACAGCGTTGTATCAGTAATATCGAATAAATTTGATCTTCTAATTCTGTCTTGTGCAGTATGATGATAAGTAAATTAATTTGATAATTTCAATATTTAAGGCAACCGTTTCCGAGATCGAGCAAATAGCATCAGTGGCACAAGGAAGAACTTTAGAGAAAGAAAAGATATACAACTCCTGCCGACCAACCATACAAAATGAGTTGAGGTGATTGATTTAATTTTATCTTTATTCCATTACTGTCAACCAGTGCTTATGATCCAAATCCGTTGGATCCGCAAGATTTTGGCTTCCTGGATCCGGATCCACAAAAATACCCGGATCCAAGGGGTAAAAATATCAACCAAAAATTGAGGGGAAAAAATGGTTACTCCTTAAACCTAAATCTAAACTTTTGAACAAAGAGAGATTATAAAAATTTACTCATTTCTGAATTGTTCAACCAGGTTTAGGATAAAAATAAGCGCAAAAAAATAAATCGAGTTCAAGGCTCTACAGTCCTGAAAGGATTTTTTCATCATCCCAGTCACCTGAATGGACAGGTGAGTAATTGTTTTAAATGATTTTCAAAATGTCATAAAAACAATAAATAGTTGAAATAAGTATTGCTGTTGTTTATTTCTTATTATAGCTAAATTTGAAAGTTGAACATTTCAGTTCCAGTGGATGTACGGGGAAGATTTGGAGAAAAAACGAGCTTCCTTCCCTGACTTCATGGGTAAGACTATATTATGGTTTGTAATAAACTTTTTACATGTACAGATCACTGGGTAACCCACAAGTGACGACCTGAAACTCTTTAATTCCGTCGAAATGAAGGTTTGGATGGTTCTCCGTATGCTAAAAGTGTGTTAACTGATTTTGCAAAGAAAAAATATAGAATAAAACCCGTACAGTCTTACAGTTTTTCAAATGTTTGAGGCAGAGTGTAAATGTAATTTTAACTCACCATTTATTTATACAGTGACATGTCCATTGTCCAATTTACAACAATATAGTTTAAAAATCTTTTGAACAAAAAAGAGGAAAATATTTTTTCTTTTTATAAATGACTTATTTTATAATAATTAATTTCAGGGTCAGTTGAACGCTACATATTGGAAACGCATCCGGACAAGGAAGGATTCCAGAAAGAGCTAAAGAAGATTAGGAATGATGAACAGCTTACTGAAACCCAGGTTATTCCCAACTGTAACCTGCCACCCCCAACCCTCCCCCCAACCAGTGCTTAGAATCCGGATCCGTTGGATCCGCAAGATATTGGCTTCCTGGATCCGGATCCGCAAAAATATGCGGATCCACGGATCTGGATCAAGGGGTAAAATATCATCCAAAAACTGCAAAAAAAAACTTTTTTACCCCAATTCTTAACTTTTGAAAAAAGAGAAATTATAAAAATTTCCTCATTTCTGAATGGTTTATGAAGTTTTAGGATAAAAACAAGCGAAAAAAATAAAACAACGAATTTGAAAATTATTTTTTGTTAAAAAAAGTTTAGAAATCTAAAAGAAATGATCTGGATCCATTTTTTTCCAGTGCGGATCCAGGATCCAGATCCGCATCAAAATTAAATGGATCCTGAGCACTGCCCCCGGCTCCAACCCTCAGTAAAATACATGGATCATTCTTGAGAATTTTTTTTCTAGCCGGTTCAAATTAGAGTGTCCATTTTCCACCAGAATTTTTTTCGACGGAAATCATAATGACCGAAAAACGGAACCATCACAAGAAACTTTCTGCCGGAAAAATAATCCTTCTGTACAGATTTCCGCTTAAAAAAAAATTCCTACCGGAAAATTTCCCCGAATTTCNAGTTCAGATTTCATTATACCTATACCGAAGGGACTCATTTGTGCTCTAAGTGAACTTAGAAGAAAAATGGGTTACCCGACCCGCCAGCACCCCCATTAGATAATGAGATGTGAGCCTCAGGGTAGGGGGCCTGTTAGGATCGTATACTGGTAAATACGACCTGGGTCAGGCCGCATGTTATGTTAAATGTTAAACGATAAATTTGTCAACCATGGGCACGCCACAGATCATGGATAAAATGGTTTAATCATAATAAAAAGCAGTTTCTGACACCCTTTTGGCGGACACGGAATTTTAGGTGGATACCCTAATTCAAATACATTAGTATATTTTATATTTATTTCAAAATTTTATGGTAAAGGATATGGGTTCCTGGTTTTTGTTGTACACCCTAGAGAGGGTTTCTCTAAAACCACGGAAGAAAGAGGAGGAGAAATCGTCTTACCTGTTTAATAATGCAAGTAAATTTTTAATATTTCAGCATTTCATTGAAGAAAAATAAACGAAGAAACAGTATTAAAACGAAGTTAAACCAATCCACAGATCTTCTCTTACATGGAGTCAATTTTTTCGGTTTTTATATGTGTTATTGTAGTTGTTAAACGTTAAAACATTTTTCATTTAAAACATTTTAGTGGACCAGGTAACAGACGGATGTCCCTGCCTGTCAAGAGAAAATAAAAGGTGTGAAGAAATGAAAATTGTACGTGAAAATGCAATTTTTTTCTCTCATTATTTTAATACTTTTTAACCAAACATTTGATTTTTTCTCTCTATAAATCGTTCATTTTCAGCAAGAAAAAATTAACCTAAAAACATACTTAAGTTCTCACCCTAGGGGGAAAATAGATTTTCAGAAAAAGATTTTTCAGGAAAATATACAGCCCTGTATTATTATTTATATTTTTGTATTAGATTTCTGTTGGTCTGCGATGGAGAATTACTCCTAAGGGACCTCGACTTATTCGAGGAAAATTGGCTTTGATATTTTTTTAAATATAATAAAAAAAATCACAGTAGAAAAAAATTTGTTAAATACTTTATTATTTTGCATGGAATCTCATTTTTTTAGCAGGTCCATTAAATTTCAAGGAAATTGTCATTATCAAAAGTTTATAAGTCAAAATTCTCCTAGGCCATTGTAAGTGTGGTTCAGCTTGCGTATTTGGTGGATATGGAGTATCCAGAGGTGCTGAATTATTTTTTTAAGGGACTGTCGTCATTGCTCTGGCTTAAAAATTAATTAATTCTCACAGTTTCTTAAATCTTTCTGTAGCCAGAAATCCACAAGTCCCTTGAATAATAAACCGACAAACAAAAAGAAATCTTGAGTTCTAATAGAGCTAATATGGTTACTGTTGTGAATCGGAAATGTCACAAAAAGAATTTGAGGGTAACTTGAAATTACGTCTACAGTCTCTTTGGTTTGAATTAAAGAAATTATACAAATTGTACTAAATTTATTGAAGAAGTTATTTCAACTATGATTTTAAATTGTCTTTAGAAAGGGAGATGTACTGCACTGCTGCTGCAAACGCAACTACTTAGATTCGGGAGAAGAGTGTTAGGTCAAGCTTTCAATAAATATTGTTGAATTATTATTGTTGAAAAAGTTGAATTTGTTAAATCCTACACACAATATTTTAATATTAAAAAGATAATCGGTAACTTGTGTGCTCTCATTATTATTCAATCTTTTTTAATTTTTTGCAATTACGAAATAATCATCCTTTAATTTTTATAGAGGAGGCAGGAAACAAGGCAATGGCTACAAAGATTTACAAATTCTCCTCAATGGTATTGTAAAGGTAAGATTTACGTTATCAAGAAATTTATGATATATGTTCAATGTTTCCGAGGTTAAGAAATATAACAAATCTTTGAACTTTGATAAAAACATTAAATTATCCCCCCCCTCCTTGGAAAATATTGTAAGCCGCCCCTGAGTATATGACCCTTACTTTGTTCAGATTGATGGTCCTCAAGCTTCGAAGCTGTTAGAATTTAGAAGAAACTTTTCAATCGATCGAGAGAAACTTTTGAGCAATTGGGTTTTCGCTATCATTTTAATTATGTTTAACCAGTTGTAAATTATACTAATGAATTATGTGGATAAATAACTGTTTGAAATAAGAAAATTACTTTACTCACATAATATCTGATAAAAAAGGATTAAAAATCGTTAATTTGAATAAGAAAGCGATAATTTGTCAGTGATAATTTATCGCAGATTAAAAATCGTTAACTTCGCCAAGAAAGCGATTAATAATCACTGATTTTTTATCTTGTGTAGAATAAGGTTTTCATTTATTAGCGTGAGTGTGCAGGGAGACGAGAAAAGGAGAAAATTGAGAGAGAAACCCTTACTAGACTGATTTAAACTATAATTTAATGAATATTTTGTTGTAAAGCTCTAGCAGAGGGAAGAAAAGGACGCATTGTAACCAGAAATCTATAACGGATTTAAAATCGTTTACTTGAGAAAAAAAGCGATTATTTGTCAGTGATTTTTAATCTTTGGAAAAACAATGTTTAAAGTCGCAGATTAAAAATCGTTTATTTCGTGAAATAACGGATAAATTGTCCGTGCGTACAGTTTGTCAGAGAAACTTCAGATTAATAATCTGTTATTTCACCAAGTTACAGATTTTTAATCCGTAAGTTAGTGATTAAAAATCCTTTAATTTTCAGACTTTTAATACGTTATTAAGTGATCGTCCGTTCTGAGTCGCTTTCTTTTAAAAGAAAGCGATTTTTGATCGTTTTCTTCACCAAGATAAGGATACAGTGTGTTGTGGTCGTTAACAAGAAATTGAAATGGTTCCTCAAAAGCAGTACCCTGTCCTTAGCATATTAAATACAGGTTTTGAATACAAATCAATTTACATGTTGCTCATGTTCCATTTTCCTTATTTTGTTTAAACTTGAAAGGAATATATAATCAGGTTTGGGAATATAAGGTTTATATCCAGAATTTAAAGCAAATACAGGTTTAAGTGAAATATGTGCTTAACCATATCAGGCTTTTTTCTTAAAGAGTTCCAGGTTATATCAATTATTCTTATTGACAAAAATATGTTGCACTCGTATCCTCCTCCCCCCCCCCCCCCCCCCCCTCCTCATAGGCCGTCAAATAGCTTACAAAGGGCTATTATTTCTTTTGCTCTAACATACATAAAACTATTTAGACATAAATGGAAATGTCTCTAACTTGTTCTGTAAGCTAAGGTCAAATGACATAAAGGGGATAAGTGCTGTACTCCCAGATTTAAGACAACAAATTCTGTTAAAAGACCTGTAGGAAAACTAACCTGACTTGATCGACCTCAGGCGTACTGTTAGCTTGAAGTTTAGAAACCAGAATTCGAACAATATTCAACAAAAACAGTAGATTCACCTAAACATATTTTTAGATTTAAATTTTGAAAAAAAAACTGTCGGCAAATTAATTTTTTTTCTTTGAATTGGTTGATGATGTGTGACAAGGATACAAATCTTCCCATGTATTTGTAAGGGATTTCATTTTAGAAGGAGAATTAAACTCTTTAAGAATGACTTTAGAATTGTGGACATTGAGATCAATGTATTATCTTGTCTATTTGTTAATCTTAAGATCAGTTTAATCTTTAGTTCGTTTCCAGGAAAGTTTATGAGAGTTTCTAAAGTTAAATGCATCTATGCATCATATGCAACCGTACATAAACTTGTATGTATTTTCTTATATAAGTCTATGCATCATATGCATCCTATGCAGCAGTACATAAACTTGTATATATTTTCTTTTTTAAGTCTATGCATCTATGCATAGTATGCAGCTGTATATAAACTTGCATGTATTTTCTTATGAAAGTCTATGCATCTATGCATATACTATCCAGCCGTATATAAACTTGTATGTACTTTCTTATTTAAGTCTATGCATCTATGCATCATATGCAGCAGTATATAAACTTGTATGTATTTTCTTTTATTAGTTTATGCATCATATGCATCTATGCATCATATGCAACCGTATATAAACTTGTATGTATTTTCTTATAAAAGCCTATGCATCTATGCAAATACTATCCAGCCGTATATTAACTTGAATGTATTTTCTTATATCAGTCTATGCATCATATGCATCTATGCATCATATGCAACCGTTTATAAACTTGTATGTATTTTCTTCTTTAAGTCTATGCATCTATGCATCATATGCAGCAGTATATAAACTTGTATATATTTTCTTAAATAAGTCTATGCATCTATGCATCATATGCAGCAGTATATAAACTTGTATGTATTTTCTTATATTAGTCTATGCATCTATGCATATACTATCCAGCTGTATATAAACTTGTATGTATTTTCTTATATAAGTCTATGCATCTATACATACTATGCAGTAGTACATAAACTTGTATATATTTTCTTAAATAAGTATGCATCTACGCATACTATGTAGCTGTATATAAACTTGTATGTATTTTCTTATATAAGTCAATGCATCTATGCATACCATGTTATAAATAAATATATAAAGTTTCATGTTATATATGAATATATGACATTACCGATACATTATGTATATAAAATAAACAACCATGCATCCCTATGACTTTTAAAAAAGGGTATTATTATTTCTATGGTCTCATATTATACCACTAATGTTATAGTTGATGGCACTTCTTGGGATATTGAAGAAATATTGAATTACATGAGTTCCTAATTCAATTTCCATAACTACATATATCTTGCAAATATCTGTGCCATAAGTGACATCATATTGCCCTAGTAGATGAATTAGTATTCAGAGTTTCCCAGGCTATGAGATGGGACAGTTTAGTCGGAGAAAAAAATGTAGCCATTAAAAAATCTATAAAAAAGAAAATACTAACAAAATATGCTGACATCATGGGAGCAGTAAGAAGCCAGATGTAGGGTGAATTAGACCATCCAGCCCAGCAGTCTAAGGTACAATCTACCTCAGCTAGCTCAGATTCCATCATACCAGCCCATACCATCACCCAGCCAAGAGGCATCACTGAATACAAGTTATATTACAGAAACACTGGGGTATAATCTACATTTTCCAGCTCTGATTATATCATAACAACCCACACTGTCAACCAGCTAAAAGTCATCAGTCACTAAATGCAGTCATTTTTATCACACTGAAAGCAATCTACCTCCACAAGGGCAGCTACCTTTAAACCAGCCCATACGCACCACTAAGCCAATTCGCACCACTAAATACTAAATCAATTATAATACAGTAGTTTAAGGTACAATCTACATCTGCCAGCTCAGAATAAATCATACCAGCCCACACTACCAACCAGCTGGCATTACTAAATACAGTCAGCAATCGAGGGTATAATTTAACTTCGCCAGCTCAGATTTTATCATACCAGCCCAAACCTGCACCACTCAGCCGATAGGCATCACTAAATACAATCAGTTATAATACAGCAGTTTAGGGTACAATCTACCCGTGCTAGCTTAGACTCCATCATACCAGCCCATACTACTACCCTGCCAATAGGCATCACTAAGTACCATCAATACTGCAGCAGTCAAGGGTAGAATCTATCTCCACAAGAGAAGATTTCTTCAAACTAGCCACCATTACTCCTTAGCCAATAGGCATTACTTAACACAATCACAGTTGTAATACTGCAGTATGCTTTCACTAGTGCAGATTCTATTACACCAACCCACACAAAGCACTACCCAACCCACAATTTCAAGTTTAAACAACCTAACAACCAACCATTAGGCTTCAATAAACGCAATCTGTTATATTACAGCAGTCCTAACAATAATCTACTGCTAGTTCAGATTTCATTATACCCGCCAGTACCACTATCCTAAACCAAACTCATTTGGTTGTATTCCAGCACTCCTGTTGTTTTGCTCTTGAAACTTCTTGGTTTTTCAGAAAAAGTTATTTAAACACACATATTGGGATTGTCATAACACTGGTATTTGTTTTTAACAAATCTAAAAAAGCCCATACATTTTTTTTTATCATTTTATCTGCACATATAAATCTAGCATTTTTGACAGGCTCTTGATAATGGTTGTAAAAAATGTGTCAACAATTTTCAAGTTTTAACATTTTTCCCACATTTTTTGTTATTTTTTAGAGTTTTTTTATGAGCTGGTTCTTTAATAAATTGGCTTTGAAAATGTATTGAATATAACGTATGTGACCTCCCAGCCATTTTAATTGTAAGTTGATCACAATGATCTTCATACAATGTTATTTTTACTTTTTTACTGTCTAGCTGATTAAATTTCTAACTTTTTTACTTTATTTCTTTTAATTTATAATTTTCCAAGTCAAGAAACCCTCATTTTTACTTTAATAAAAAGTATTTTTAAAATATTTTACAGATAAATTTTAGAACGTCATCAATGCACTTTTAGTTGCTAATAAGAACCATTCATAAATAGAAAATATTAGCTCCTATTATAGTGAAAATATTAGCTCCTATTATAATGAAAATATTAGCTCCTATTATAGTGAAAATATTAGCTCCTATTATAGTGAAAATATTAGCTCCTGAAAATATTAGCTCCTATTATAGTGAAAATATTAGCTCCTATTATAGTGAAAATAGTTTTATTTCTATTTTTAGAAGATCATTGTGTTAAAAATTAACTAATTACTGAAAATAAAGTTTTTCAACATTGACTAAATAAAAAAGACTTAAAGAACACTTTGTGAGATTTAAGTAATACTGATTTCTTATTAATATCATATACTTTCCGTCTCAAATTTACCTGGTTAAAGAAATCAACTGTATATACATTGTTATTTAATTTTTTTTAATTCAAAAATTTACCAAAAATGAAGTAAATAAAATTATTAGTTAATACTAGCTCTATATATTATCTTTCTGCTACATGTTAGTGAGTAACCCTGTATGTATTGACCAGAAAAAAATCCCCCTTTAGATTATGATGAGTTGAAGTGATTTAGTAATCTATACCTAATGCTTGATTTCCCCCCCCCCCCCCACATCCTGTGCCCTGCTAATTTAAAGTTCAGGATAAATTGAATGTCCAAATCTCCATCAAATAGATTTTTAAATGTCTGTATCAAGGCTCTTAAAAAGATACAGAACACATTTTCTCAATTAACCCTATCACAGTTGGGGTTTCCACCCCCTCCCTGTGGTTTATTCTGAACAACTTAAAAATGGCTTACATCAGAACGCTATAACTTCATCACCTTTGCAAATCATATAATCATACTTGTGAACAAAGTTTGCTATAAAAAATGTATGCATAGGTTAGGGTAGAGAATGGTCAAACGGCGGGTTAGTGTTTAAATTAATCAGAAATGGTTAATAACTTTTTTATTAATTAATATTTGAAAAGGCCTTAAAAAATGGACATAATAACATGTGTCATATGTTAATATTTGTTACAAGTAAAAATAATGATTTTTGAAAATTTTTTCAACGTACTTTTTAAACTTTTCAAAAATCCTCCCTTACACCCTAACCATTAAAGTTAGAGTATGATTTTTTAATGAGCAGGCTTTGTTGGACTAAAGACATGTATCGTACTCCCTATCTTAACTCTAAGGGCAAAATCATAGGGAGGAGGGGGGGGGGCCATCAATATAAGACAAAAATAGCACAATCGGGATAGGGCTAACTGTGTTTCACTTTTGATTATATACAGTTTTTGAAAAATCAAAACGCAATTCATTTATTTTATGATTTTTACTAATTTTTCACTAAATTTGATAATTGTTTTCTAGATCCAAATTTTATCATTGATTTGCGAGTAAACAACCCAACAATCATATCAAAAGAAAAAATGTTATTTGCTGCTATTCAAGGAATTATCGTAATTATACTATACTATATTATCATTGTGGTTAGCTCTTTCAATTGACCAAAATCATTGTGGGCTTATAAAATTATTACTTTGATTTGAAATTATTACTATAAATCTAAGAGAATTGGCTTTTATATGGAATATGTTATAACTGCTATTATGTCTCATTGATTAAAGAACATGACTGCAGTTCTAAACTAAGAAAAAATCCTTATTTTACAGAAACAAAATAAAATCAATTTCTTTCAGAGCAATTAATTTGTTTATGTATACAACACCATTTTCTTATGATTAATGTTTAACAAAATTTCCATATTATGAAGAAAAATAGAAAAAAAAATCCGCACTGAGAGATATTTTATAGGGAAAATCTAAATTTATTTTGAAGTTTTTATTATCAAATATTTGAATGACATTTCATTGTATCTTAAGAATTAAAAACAGTCATAGATTTAATTTTATCATTGAAATATTTCATAGCTTTTCAATGCTCAAAACATATCTGAAAACCCTAGAACTTAATATTGTTATTATTTCAAGAACCGTACTTGTAAAATTAGTTTAAAAATATATAAAAAACTTACCCCATCCAACAATGTTGAAAAGTATGACTGGAGCTTCTGAATTAAAGATCTGGACAGTAATTCTTGAGTGAAGATAGAACCCTGCGGAACACCCATTCAAAATTCACGTGATAAATTTGTGGAAAGATAGGGTTATACAAGGGATTTGGTACAAGAAGATAGATATCTACTCAATCCATCAAAACTTTTTCAACAAGATAATGGCTTTCCTGAAAGCTAAACATGCTAAAATTTGATTTAGTCTTGGGATATATGGAAAAAATGCATTTAGGCAGTATTCACAAGGACACTGGAAGTAGAGATGGGCGCATTTGGCTGTTTATCATTTTCTTTGCTTATTGTTCAGGAAAACCCCAGTTCATCTCTTTTTTTTCAATTGTTTGAAAAAAGTTGATATCATTTGTTCTCAAAATTATCATTTATTTTTAATCTATTTCGTTCGTTTTCTCAAAGTACAATCTTTCAGTAAAATTGTTTGTTTAATGAAATGATTCTTTTATAAATAATTCGTTTATTTAGAAAAAGAATCAAAATAATGTTCATTTAAAAATAATTTTTCAAAATCTTTTGGAAAATTGCTCATTCAGTAAAAAAAGCTTTTTTGTTCAAGATTGTTTACACGATTTTCAATTTTTCAATTTTTTCATGTCTCTGAACAATCCAATTCCTTTTTCCATGGTTCATTTTTTCAAAATACCTTCCTGCACGCAAAATTTTGTTCATTTCTCAAAAATTTTGTTTGTTTACAAAAACGATGCCCATCTCTATTAAGAAGTGATAGGAAAAGTACGTATAACATGATGGTAGGTTAGTGGCAAAAATTGAGGCCTAATGTAATATATACGTTGTCATTCGTTCACATAATAACTACGTAAATTCTGTAATGCGATTAACCCAAACCATGTTGGTAGATAGATATAACTTCATCATACCCATAAATTTGATTTAATACGTTATAACCGCCCATAACTTGTAATTACGCTGTAAATAACCAAAAATCTAATATGAACTACTAAGAATAGATCAATTGACTGAGACTCTGCTTTTGATTAAGTTATCAGAAGCCTAAGTAAGCTTGAAAGAAAGCTTTGGTACTCATTGAATTATACGAGTTGAGAAATTGCCTGTGTAGCAATTTCAGTTGGACTGTGTGTCCTTTAGAACCTGGGAGTTAGGCCTGGTTAAATTGTGGACTGTGTATCCTTTAGAACTGGGGAGTTAAGCCTGGTTCAGATTTGGACTGTGTGTCCTTTAGAACCGGGGAGTTAAGCCTGGTTCAGATTTGGACTGCGTTTCCTTTAGAACTGGAAAGTTAAGCCTTGTTGAGATTTGGGCTGTGTGTCCTTTAAAACCGGGGAGTTGAACCTGGTTGAGATTTGGACTGTGTGTCTTTTAGAACCGGGAAGTTAAGCCTGGTTAAGATTTGGACTGTGTGTCCTTTTGAACCGGGGAGTTAAGTTTGGTTAAGATTTGGACTGTGTTTCCTTTAGAATTGGGGAGTTAAGCCTGGTTGACATTTTAACTGTGTGTCTTTTAGAACTGGGAAGTTAAGCCTGGTTGAGATTTGGACTGTGTGTCCTTTAGAACTGGGTAGTTAAGCCTGGTTGAGATTTGGACTGTGTGTCCTTTATAACCGGGGAGTTAAGCCTGGTTGAGATTCGGACTGTGTGTCCTTTATAACCGGGGAGTTAAGCCTGGTTGAGATTTGAACTCTGTGTTCTTTAGAACCAGGGAGTTAATCCTGGTTGAGATTTGGACTCTGTGTCCTGTATAACCGGCGAGTTAAGCCTGGTTGAGATTTGGACTGTGTGTCCTTTAGAACCGGGGAGTTAAGCCTGGTTGAGATTATGACTGTGTGTCCTTTAGAACCGGGGAGTTGAGCCTGGTTGAGATTTGGACTGTGTGTCCTTTAGAATCGAAGATTTAGTACTGGTTGATCTTGTTAACGAATAGACCTGGATAGATACGTCTTGAGTAAAATGTTATGGAGTAGGCGTTTACTACAGTTTTACGTAAGATTGAACATGAATAGTCTTAACCCCCTCCCACCCCACTTCCCTCCCAGTAAGGAAAGGTATAGTTCTAAGAAAAACACCTGAAGTACAACCATTGCCCAAAACTTTTTTATATTTATTTATCTAACGTCTTTATTAGACCCTGTCCTTCTGAATTTTCTCATTATCATATACCCTCCAGTTACTCTGTAAACATTGGCCCAAGAAAACATTAAACCAAATCTAGAATATATTTAAAATTAACTTTCTAGAATATTATTTTAATCCTTTTATGAAAAAAGGCTTCTTTAAGGGATTTGACTGTTTATGCAATTTAATATATATTTTAAGAGTGCAGGCATGTTTAATTGACGATGGTACCCTTGTTAGCCTGTATCCGATCAGAACTATAAAAATACTTTACTGTTTATGCTATCTATATTGATAAATGCATTGTTGTTCTTATTCCCGGGGTAATTGTTTGATTAAAAATAATTTAGAATGAATTCCTTCGTTAAACAACCTAAAATGGATAATACGATTAGTTTTATCATCAATTTTAATATTTTCGAATTTTTAGTAAAGATTTGATTTAATGTAAAATAGACATAAAAAGGCTGCTGATGTTTTTTATCTTGTTTTTTTATTTAGATTTGTATTGTTTAAGCTTGAACTGATATAATACAAGATACATCAGAAAATTTTTAGTATATTTGAAAAATATTTTTGTTTTTTCTTGATATGAATACTTTTAAAAAATGGTTGGAAATCATTAAAACAAAATAATTTTAGATTTTTCATTAATGCACTCAAAACAAATGTCAGCCACCAAAAAGTAAGTGCATTTTTTCTTTTCTTTCCCTAATCTTCTTCTCAGAAAATGCAATTGAATGAAACTTTATCTTTCACGAATGTGCACTATGGTAGGTGATACAAAATTATAAATCCATTGACCAATGCAAAAACTATTCAATGGATAACCTCTTTTTCAATAACTATGCGAAATCTAATTTTCAAATTATCAAAAATCAGTTAAAAACTGGATATATTCCTGCAATAGTGAAAGTTTTAGACTCACAGCTGAATTATTTAAGAAAAACTTACCCGCCATCTTAAAATTTACTCAGTTCATTTTCAAATTATGCTTCCATCGTGTTCAAGTGTACAGTTGTGTTGAAAAATGTTCAGCAGCGCCACAAATTTGAATATTTCTTGCATTTAATTAAGAAGTTTGATTTTACTTAAACTTACCAATTAGTTGAAGCCATTTGACTGTACACCTGCAGGACCAGGATAAACTTACAGAACCAGGGCTAAATAAACAATTAGAGTAAATTAGAACCAGGATGAACTTACAGAACCAGGGCTAAATAAACAATATAGAGTAAATTAGAACCAGGGTAAACTTACAGAACCAGGGGTAAATAAACAATATAGAGTAAATTATAACCAGGGTAAACTTACAGAACCAGGGCTAAATAAACAATATAGAGTAAATTAGAACCAGGGTAAACTTACAGAACCAGGGGTAAATAAACAATATAGAGTAAATTATAACCAGGGTAAACTTACAGAGCCAGGGCTAAATAAACAATATAGAGTAAATTATAACCAGGATAAAATTACAGAACCAGGGCTAAATATAAACAATATAGAGTAAATTAGAACCAGGATAAAATTAAAGACCCAGGGCTAATTATAAACAATATAGAGTAAATTAGAACCAGATTAAACTTACAGAACCAGGGCTAATTATAAACAATATAGAGTAAATTAGAACCAGGATAAACTTACAGAACCAGGGCTAATTATAAACAATATAGAGTAAATTATAACCATTATAAACTTAAAGACCCATGGCTAATTATAAACAATATAGAGTAAATTAGAACCAGGATAAACTTACAGAACCAGGGCTAAATAAACAATATAGAGTAAATCATAACCAGAATAAACTTACAGAGCCAGGGCTAAATAAACAATACAGAGCCAATTATAACCAGGATAAACTTACAGAACCAGGGCAAAATAAACAATATAGAGTAAATCATAACCAGGATAAACTTACAGAACCAGGATAAACTTAAAGACCCAGGGCTAATTATAAACAATATAGAGTAAATTATAACCAGATTAAACTTACAGAACCAGGATGAAAGTGTGAAGTGTTTGGTATTTATTAACATACTTTAATACTAAAATAAACTATTTATACTAAATTTAATTTTCACAAAATTCACGCTCCACTTGTAAATTATTAAGTTTGGCAAACCAGCAAAATTTAATTAAAAAATGAGAAAAACCATTTATATTTTTTAGCAGTGGAGGAATCAACATGTAAGAAACAAGATGGAAGAAACATGATGGGGGAAAACAAGATGGAGGACACAAGATGGAGTAAAGAAGATGGAGGTAACAAGATGGGGGTAACAAGATGGAGGAAACAAGATGGAGGAAACAAGATGGGGGAAACAAGATGGAAGAAACAAGATGGAAGAAACAAGATGGAGGAAACAAGATGAAGGACAAATCTTCAAAAAGGATAAAGTAAAGTTAAATTAAAATGTGGCAAAGTGCAATTTTTTGTTCACTTGATGAACTAATTAGAACTTCGAGTTCTGGGTGATAGGTTTAGTTGGAAACTAATCAACTACCCAACTAAACCTGACCAAACCAAACCAAACCAAACCAAACCAAACCATATCAAGCCTTACAAAACCATACCGAACAAAATAAAACGAAACAAACCTTACCAAACCATTCCAAACCATACCAGAGCATTCCAAACTTACTAAACCAAACCAAACTATATCAAACCATACCAAACTATTCCAAAACCAAAACTGCTGTAACTGTACAATATTTTTAAGTTAGGGATGAAATTGCAAAGTAAAAAATTCGACTTGTACTATCATTGATCATAGTACTCAGCTTTCTGGGAAATATTTTAAAATTTTGATTAGTTTTTATTAGACAAAACTTATTTGAGAAAGAGAACAAAATTGTTTTTCTACGGAACAAAACATCACATTTTAATTAACGCCAAGATATGAATTGTATTCCGCTAAATATTCCCAAAACGAATGAACAATTTCATTAAAAAATTTAAACAGAGCTGGGAACTATTGTGTTGTGATACTCATAATTCCCTTAGCTTGATATCAATATCCACTGTGGGCTCTTTTAATTGATTTGGGAAAACAAATTCTGAAAATCTTCATTTCTCTCCATGAGGTACGATTATCGTGCTTTCGGCTCAGGATAAGCTACGAGCGGGGGAAGGCATTCAGTCATGAGCAGCACAACCGTTTGGTTTTTTGATGGACTAAATTTATCATTTAAAAAAATCAAAATTTCCGGAAAAATCAAATGTTGTGGCATGGAAGACGAAACGCTTGTGGCTCAAGGCCGTCTACCTTGCTCGTACAATGTACTTACATATTCTCTGTAGTCTGGTCCCAGTTTTCTCTTGGTGATGTATGGTTCTAGGTAGACCAGCAGGGAGATATAGAACAGTAATAAGCTCGCCACCAGGTGCTTATGGACAGTCAGCCGGGGACATTGAAGAGATCTAGATATAAGCGTCGAGGTCATTCACTACATTGCGTTGTAGAGATTTAAACAAATTATAATATGCACAGTAACCTCACCGGAAGGGATGAGAAATCAAGTGCACTGTCTCTTTTAGCCCAGAGCCCAAAACTTAGGACAGGGTATCGTTATGAAAACCAGTTTTGAAACCCGGGCTTTTAAGAATGGGGTTAGACAGTTTTGTGGATGTCAATATTTTGTTAGGAAATATTTTTTATTTAATTTCTTCATATACTCCATTTTTTAAAAATCTCTTTAATCAAAATCTACACAAATGTTAAGACCCCAAAAAGGAAACTCGGGAGTTTCGTTCTATGATACTCTTTTATATTTCGGGCTCTGAAACTGATATTTCAAATTAACCAGAGTCTACTATTTTATATAAATGTACACTAAGCATACAGTTAGTTAGAGATTATAAGAGATTTAAACAATGCACATACATCTCACTGGAAGGGATGGGACTAGAGTATCCAGCAGAAGAAAACTTTTGCAAAAAAATCTAAAAATTTGCTTCCGTATAATATGCAAAATTTTCCGGGGATTACGCATTTTGCACGAAAGTGAATTTTGCGGAAGATGTCAAACGATGCGCAATTCCGCAAAAAAATCAGTGCAAACAACTTCCTAAATATGATACAATATATAGATTAAGTAAATTCAATTATGTTTGAAAAATTGCAAATCTAGATACTACACAAGGGAATACTTCATTTGGTTTAATTATAGAACTCAGAACTCTAGAAATTCAGGGAAGTTTATTTTACCAAGGGTTCAAAAGACAAAATATCCTCGTTTTTCTGCCTTAAAAAAGAACTGAGGCGTACTCAGGGGACGCTATGGGTGCTCAGCCCATGGGTTTAATGCTCCAAATGATGTCAGTTGTCCAATTCATTTTTAATTTATTATTTAGTTTCAAATTTACATGTCGGCCTTTCTATTAATAAATTAATGAAGTTTCGTCACTTGCTTGACATTCTTTCAACTAATACTTTAGTAAAAAATGCACCTCTAACCAATTTTTAATATTGGCGTATAGGGGGGGGGGGGTAGGTGGGTCTTCAACCCTCCTTTGGTTTTTTCTCCATAACTTAGAAACGACTTACGACAAAACTTTATAGTTGTAAACAAATTTTGCAAAAGGCTGGTTGGCGTTAAAAAAATTCAAAAATATTATTTTTATTTATAAAGTTGCATATTTAAAATTTATTTATTTGAAAAGCACTACATATGATATTTGTGAAAAGTAAAAAATAAATGTTTTTCAATATTTTTTAAAACCCTCCCTTACACCATAACTTTAAAGTTAGAGGTCTAATTGTGTTTCTATAAGCTGGCACACCTTCAAAAGTTGTATCAGAAATGCAGTTTAAGATGTTTTCACATTTTCGTAAAAAAAATCCAATGGTTATATCTAAAGCTGTATTTGCAAATTTGTTTACCATGTAGGGATATTTTTATCTGGAAAGATTAAAAAACATTTAGTTTTTTGGGCCCTTAGGGTTTACTATGTCTTCCTCAACAAGGGGTAGTGTTTGATTTAAAATTGTGTTAAACATTTTTTTTTCTCGAAACATTGTTTGTTGATTTATTGTATACTAGTTGTATTTCAATATCTTTCGGTTTATATCAGAAAACTGCAAAACAACTTTTTATTAAAAAACTTTTTTGGTAACACAGCTGTTTATATTCAATGAAATTGGAAAAGAAAAACATTGGGACATTTATTTAATGACGAAGACTGAATTAATACCGTACAGTCGTCCCTCAAGACTTATCCTGTAACGTAGGAACCACAAAATAGGAAGACGACTTTCAGATTAAAGCTATGCTTTAAATTCGTCCAATGAACAAGATATACAGCAGTTGTGCAGTGTGCACAATTAATAAGTTGAAATTGATAACAACATCTTAAATGTCGTCTTCCTATTCCGTACTTTAATTGTTCTCACTGTAGTTTTGATGAAATTATATCCAGTAGGGCACACTTAGCTTTCTACAAAAGGACCTCCTTGCTTCTACGCATATTTCATGTGTCATTCTATATTAACCCTATTCCTGCTGGGGGGGGGGCAATTTAACCCGCCCTCCCCACGGTGGAGTATTTTCTTGTGTTTCATGTTGAGAATGTACAAAAAGAATATGTTCTTATAATGTTTTCATTTACAAACATTATATGATTTGTAGCTAGCATTGATTTATAATGCTTTAAATTTATAATTACTTTTCTCGTTCATAAATTTATCCTTGAATGGATCCTGTAATCCCGCAATATATTTAGATGTCGTCTTTGTTACAGCAAGTATTTCGGAAGAAAAACATATTTTGTAGCAAAAGCACAAGAAAGCACAGGGGGCTAGGAATAATCTAATAACTAAATCAGAACCAAAGGAAGAGAATAAAAGAAAGAAGAAACATGGAGGGAAAGGAATTATAGATAGAAGAAAGACAGCGATAAAGAAAAACAAGATAGAAAATCCTCTCCACCAAGCAATAGATAAAATAATTGATTATATATTTCAATTGTATTACATGCAACAATTTTTAATTTACCTGAACATGATAAAGATATACATGCAAACCATTAGAAGAACCAGGGACATCAGGGATAAACTGAACATTTATACTATCATTATTATCATTGTTATTATTATTATTATTATTATTATTACAGATATACAGATATACAGATATACAGATATACAGATATACAGATATACAGATATACAGATATACAGATATACAGATATACAGATATACAGATAAAGATGGAAACGTTTAAAACAATTTGCATGTGTTTTATATAAAAACAAATCCGGACATCTGATTTAGATCGTTTTACAGATATGTAATTTTTGTTAAAAGATTGAACATATTTTATTGAAATAACTTTTCTTCAACTACAATGACGTTCTCTACCCAACCTTTAAACTTGGCACACTTAGTACAAACTAGTTTTTTATCATACCGGTTCTTATTAAGACAGTACAAAATATTGTGGTTCCTCATCCAAGAAACAGTTAATCGGAATAGGGATAGTTCCATTGATGTAACCCCTTCAGTTCTCATACAAACTCGGAGCTAAGCTCAGATTGGATAGTTCTATTGATGTAACCCCTTCAGTTCTCATACGAATACAAAGCTAAGCTCGGATTGCAAGTAGTCCGGCCTATAAGCATGGCAGCTTATTATCTCTTTTTGTATATAGCTATAGGTCAGACAGAAAGGGGGGCGGATGATAAGGATTCATGACTCTGATTGGATAATGAGATAGATTTCTTTTTGGTTCAGAATACACAACAAATACATGACTGAACCCTGATTGGATCAGGCGCTAATGGACTCGGCATGCACAAGTGTCATGTATAGGTATTCAAGAGTTTGTCCGTTAAAACTGCCATCCAGAAATCATGCTTTCAACACGTGTAGAATGCTATCAACGCGTAGAATGCTTTCAACGCATAGAATGCTTTCAACGCGTAGAATGCTTTCAACGCATAGAATGCTTTCAATGTGTAGAATGCTTTCAACGCATAATATGCTTTCAACGCGTAGAATGCTTTCAACACGTGAAGAATACTAGCTGCTGTTAAACTGTCTATTTTAAATTCAGGCCAATAGACTTGATGCAGGAGGCAGGAGAAAGAGGATTTGCCGGGCTAAGAGCAAAATGGAGTTAGTTGTTGTGAGGATAAAAACAAAGAGGGTTAACCTGACATATGGGCTGAAGGAAGACGCAGAGTTTGCAAGAGAGCTTTGGCTTTATTCAACTCATTAGTATCAAACATTACTTGGTCCTTTTTTATACTGTAAATATAAATACTCTGTAGACTTATTATTCACATCAGTTTCAGGCTTTGCATTTTCTTTACTTTCGACCACTTTTAAATGGTAACAACATATTAAACCATGGCAAAATTGAATTCCCTGCAGTATTCTGTATTGGTCCACTCTTTGTTGGTCTTGTCATATTTCTAATAGTTAAAGACCGGTCTCTAGCAGTACAGTACACACATTTATCGGCACCTATCCCTAAAGGCTCAGCAACCTGAGAATAAGTAGCATAGCACACCACTTTTGCCAGTTTATCAAAGAACCCACCATTTTTACCCACACCGGAACTAAAAACGCCAGTGTTCTTAGCTACTTAATTGAATACGTTTTTTGGAGATTTTCAACAGTACAATTAAATGGTTTCCATCGTTATAGCACATACTGTATCTATCTGAAATCTATCAACAGTCTATTCAAGAACTGTTTGTATATAATTAGTTGAAACCAGTATTTAAATGTAAATGTTTGTTACTGAACATAATTTGATTAATTTTCCAACAGAGTAGAATTAACACATTTTTTTAAGTATTAACACATTCTAAAAGTTGTAGTTTAAATACGAGGGGGGGGGGGTGTCACCTACCTGAAGTAAAGATAAGCTACAATACTGGGCATAGCCCCCCTATCCTTCTCTTGTTGTGGTAGACAGGCTGAATAGTCGGCAAGTTCATCCCAAAATCCGGAGTCATCGCAAAACCTTTAAAGGGAGTAAACTGAATCTGAATAAAATTTGGATTCGATCGCTTTTAATTTTACTTCTATATTTAGCGTTTATAGAAGGAACTTCTAATGACAGATAAAAAGTAAGAAGCATAAAATCTAAATTTGATTAGATCATTCAGCCTATACTCCTTTTATTGTTCGCGAACACTCGACCTCGTTGGAGCAATATATTCTGTTTTCCATATACCGTACGGGTCTAATTATCATGGTTATATGTCACATGGTTTCGATCGTTGGATGCAAGGATACAAGTAAATGCAAGTACTGTATGAGTACGCTATACAGCTTCAGTATCAAATACAGTTTGATTACGCTAGACAATGATGATACAAAAAAGTATCAGCAAGCAAGTTTCTTAGGTAAATCCTAAATTTGTTGCGACATTTCAAAGTCGACACGGTCGTCTTCAAGCGATACATAACTTTCATACTTGTTTGGATATCGTGATCTAACTATTTAGAAGCAGTGAAAACTTTCTTCATTTGGTTCAAACACCATAACACCATTTTTCCCGGAGAAATATAATTATGATTATAGTTTATTAATGTATCTGCTTTCCGTTCCTTTGGAAAGATCTTCCTTGAAGGGTTTAGATGAGAACTGAGTTACCAGCAACAAACTCTGATTTTCTAGTTCTCGTATCTTTGCAACCCGATGTTGTGGACCTTTCATATTTTAAACTTTGTATTTTCTTAGTTTAAACATCCTCAGCATTAAAATTAAAATTTTGCGTCATCAGACTGCAAAGATTATAAAATTAGGGTTTGTTGCAAAAGTTCATTTTCTTTGTTTGTTATCAACATTTTTTTCGTAAATTCAGATATTACCTTAAATCAAAATTTCAGAATTTTAAATTGAACAAATGAAAATAAAACAAGGAAAATTAAAAAAATATTATTATCTTTTTTTAGATCAATATCTACTTAAGGTACTTAAGCTTCTTACAACTTACAAAAATCATCAGTAAATGAATTTGATATTAAAATTGAATATTATTAAAAAGCATGCATCATCATTTAAAACTATATAAGCGAATTCTTGCCCCCCAAAAAGGGTTTAAAAAAATTTAATTTTGTTTTCAATAATGTTGAAAGCAATGTTGTGAAAGCAAATTAAGGAAAATTGATTTTGTAATTCTTTTTCTTTTAAGTGAATTTCTTAAAAGTTTTAAAAGACCAATTTGAAAATATTTTAAACACTGATGTAATCGAAATTACAAGGACAAAGGTCTTTATGTTTACAGATATTTTGCGTATCTGTTTGATTGTATAAAGTAAATGTCAAAAAGCTGAATCGATCGGGTCCCAATTTTTCCGTAGCAACTCACATAACACAAGGAATTGTTTTTGGCTTGTAGAAATTGAAGAATTGAGCATATGGAAATCTATTATTTTTGACAATCCACTGATTGATGTAAATTTAAATAACAAAACCCCAAATTTTGAGTCTTTAGATTACGAAGAAAAGATGACGACGTGATTGTGAATAGCTACATTTAAATGCTAAAATTGTTAATAAAAGAGGGGGACGTCAAAAGCCTAACAATGCAGAATTTATTAGACTCGCATCTTAATAAATGTAAAGTATGTATAAAATTGTATCACATGTTATATAAACAAAGAAAAAAGATGGAGAAAAAACCGTCAAATTAAAATTATTGACTAAATAATAAAAACATAAACAATTAGAGAGAAAGAGAGAAAAAAAACAAAGATGGCTACCTAAATGCTTTGCCGGTATGACAAGGCTCCTGAAGATCTTGAATATCTGCGCATGCGTGGTAAGCTTTGCTACCAGCTGGTGTCGGGGGCCAGCAAACAATAGAGTCATGAAACCAACCACAAAAACCTAGGAAAAATATTATTTTGTAAAATAATTTTTCATCTAAAATTCATATGCTCTTTTTTATATCATCGAGTACTATCATTTTTTTTAATATTAAAATTGAAATTTTTCATCTGATTTTTAATTAATACTGATCTAAAAGAGTAACTTGCAGATTTATATACAACAGACAAGAAAGAACAATTACAGAATTCACATTTTTGAAAGATAACATAACAGTTGCCTGCTTTCTCTCTAGCAGAACGGACCTACTATGCAGTCCCAGAATTGCAGCTGGGGAAACGCTGTGTTTAGTTATGCATCTAGTATCCTACAGGGGAAGCAAGAATTGTACATAGATTAAAACAAAACTTCATCTTCAGCTTGATTCACTGAAAGAGGAGTTAAACCCCTCGTGGGAATACAAGCCGTGCACAACGATACCAGTTTTTTACTCGACCAGATGTGAGGACTGGACTGCCATGGAAGATACCTCTCAATAGAGCTTTCAGGGATCACAACTCCCCATTTTGCATATGGGGTGCAGTTATGGGTAAATTCCTTAATTCCCCTAACTGGGAAACAGTATAAAATGAAGGAACACAGAGAAATCCCCTATACCCTTCTTCCTACAAACCTCCTTATCTCTCTCCTACCTGCTCCACAACTCGATGTTAAAAGAACTATTTGGAAAGGCCTTAAAGTTAAAAAACAAGAAACAAGAAGCAAGAAGAAAAAATAAATTGAACAGAAAAAAGTGGATGGGTGCTTGAAGCAAGATAAACAAGAAAGAAGAAGAAAACTTTGGAGATAAAAAACTGGAAAATGTGTAAAATGCCCCCCTCACCCCTCTCCCACTCCAAGAAAAGCTAGGAATGCAGGAGCTGACTCGACACAGTATCATGACTGAAGCAAAATTTAAATATAAACAAGGGGAAGAGTAACCTTGCCACTCTCAATATATAGAATATAGATACAGGGCTTCAAAAAATAGTTCTACCTCTGCAATTTGGCTAGCTGCAGAAAACATCCAAAAAATTCATTTATTTTTTATTTTCAAAATTAGCCATAGTGTGATTGAAGGATGGACAAGGAATGGAAGATCAAGAAGAAAGGATTAAAAACAAGAAGTATAGAAGTCTCAAAATGTTTCCATCTGATATCTTATTAAAATTTAAAAATATTGTAAAATTAAATAAAGTAAATTATTAAAGTTTAAAAATTTTGAAAGATAAAATTAGCTTGATATTATCATTTTTAATTTCAAGGTTATAAGAATATCGTTGTGAACGACGAACTTAACGAACTAACTTAAATATCTCTGAATGAACACTGAAATTGTGTTCTTTACTTTTATAAAATTCTACTTTTCCCAAAATAAAAACTATGATAAATTAGACATTTTTGAAAAGCCCTTGACCCAGCGAATTTAAATATACGAAAATATTTGCCAAATTTGAAAAACTGAATGTGTATTTAAGGAAATTTGAAAATGTGCAAATTCCCTTTAAACTCAAACACGTCTCACAGTACCTCAGAACAATGAAAAAGAGGCAAAAACCTATTTATTTTTTATTTTTTTTAATGTTTTTACTTCATCTTGATTGGTATAAGCAAACTGAACAACTCATTTTTGCTCATTTTTATATGATTAATTGTATATTTTTACTCTTTTCGTGAGCCTGTCATATGCAGGTTGCATGTGGGCTAAAATTCACTACAAATTTTAAAGTTTTCGTGTAGGTATAAAAATCGTCACGAAATGGTAATTTTTCAAAAAAATTCATTCATTTTTTCGGTGAACATCATATATTACATATATTATAGATCTGGTGAGTAATTCACATTGGACTTTCATGGACACCAAAAATTAATATTTGAATTTCACAATTTGAGAAAAAAATTGTAAAGGAATTTAGTTTTTGTCACAAACTCTTATTTTCTTATCCGTATATCTTTGCTTTTGAATGTCGGAGACCTTAGAAATTTCAAACTATGAATCATTTTAGATCAAGTAATGATAGTTTTAAATATCAAAGGTTTACACCATCAGGTTGAAAAGATATAGTGATTGTAAAATCATAATTTGTGGCAAAAACTCAGTTCCTTTCCAGGAAAAAACATTCAAAATATTTATATTTTCTAAAAATGTCCAAACTGTCCATCTTGAATATATATACAGAATGCCAGCAAAAAAAAACAATTCGCCACCAAATAGGATGTTTTTGAGAAATTGAATCTTAAAGTTTCAAAGTTTAGGATTTTTTCTAGGCACTCTTTACAGAAAAGTTTTCTTAGCAAAAATTGTGCAATCTTTTGTTGAAGAATTTCTAAAAAGCTATGAAATATTAAAATCCAATGACTGGAACTAGGTCTAATTATTAATTTAGTTTGGTTTAGGTAAAATAAGGCATTCAGGCAGCAGGCAGCAGGTTAAAAAGCTCCACTTTGAGTCTAAATTGAGGATATTTGTTTGTTTATAGAAAAGTCAAAAAATGTGAAAAGCCTCAGACAAATACTTTTTAAGTTATGCTCAAAAAACGCTAGGGGGCCCCCATAGCTGGATTAGGGTTAAGAAACAAACTTCAAAACGATGATATATTCTTTACTGATATATGTATGATTATTCTGTATATATAACATCATTATAAAGAAATATATTGTTAATATGTCAATTGATTGATATCAAATAGTTATCATGAGAATCAAAAACACATCAGGGATACATTCTCAAATCATCAAAGATACACGAAACTGTGTTTCTAAACATTAAGAAGATAATCTGTTTGTTTTTTATATATATTTACATAATACATATTTAGATATATGGGATATAAGAGTTATATATCTTAAAAGTTGATTATATTTGGGTGACATGCCCCATCAGAGAATTGGTTTATGTCTGATCAAAATAAAGTAATTTTCCATCCAAAAGTTTCCGTTTACAAAAGTTGAAAATCTTCAAATGAAAACAGAAAAATCGGCAAAATCTTAATTTGTCTATACTCTATACACACAAAGAAAATAATAACAGATAATATAACATTTAGAAGAAAAAATAGTACAAGTGAAGGAGTGCTCAAGAGTTTGCCTTGTTTTGCACCAAATATAGAAACTTTAAAAGATTTAAGTTCAACAAGAAAAAGTGTGACACTGTTTAATTTTCAACAACTGTTAATCCTCACTTCTTTTGTTCATAATTTTTCCTGTACGCAGGAACTAGGGTTTCCAATCGGATTTCTGTTGGTCGGAATTGCGTGCATTTGCGCGCAATAATTGCTTCCGCTTGTGCCGTTTAATTGCGCAGTTTCCGCGGAATTGCTTTGCAAAGGCTTTTTCATCTAAAAATCCATAATTTTGAACTGTGACGAATTTAGGCAGCAGCAGATACAAAAAAGGAGATGGCACGCACCTCTGACCCTTCAGTAAAAGTAAATTCAACCTAAATTCTAATCGCGTCAATCTTGTTGCACCAGCTAGTCCTGCTAGTGTCTGCTTCACTTACCCGCTGACCGGGCGATACAGTACAAACTGGGACCGGAAAAGTTGACCCGGCTCGGAAATTCAAATGTACTCCGGCTGCCCGTGATGGGTAGAAGTTATCTCTATAGATTTTAAATAATTACTTGAAATTTTTCAATATTTTCAATATTTTTAAATTAGTTCAAAAACCAACACTTGACCCATTTCTAACACTGAGTGTTAAAAATGGGTCAAAACAAAATGAATTCTGAAATCGTCTTTTTGTAGAAAAAAAAGAAACAAAAATATAAATGAATAAAAACAAGTTCATTGATTATTTAAAAACACCAAATTGAATTAAATGAAAAAAAAAAATAATGAAATATCTGTTTCCATTTATCTCTGAAGACGTATTCTTTATAGTTATTCCTGTACTCAGAAAAAAACGAGTATAGAGATCTATAGAGATCTATTAAAGGCTAGAGTATGCGATATTTTCTACAACAGGTTCCATTGTGTCACTGTGTATATGTGGACTAAATGATATATTAGAAGACATATAAATTCAGGGTCTTCCGGATACAAAATACAAAACCTTCAACAATAAAAAAATCATAAATGTCTGTGCCTGTACTGTACAATGTATATTGTATGAACTATGTATTATACATAGTACGTTCAGTCATGCACCACACATTTGAGGGTTTAAAGTCGCCTTTTTTTACCTTTTAATCAGAATTAAAGGGAGTGTTCGCGAAAAATAAAAGGGGGTATAGGCTTAATGCGATAAAAAAGCGCTTTTGATCGCTACTAATCTTACTTCTATCTGTTGCGTCTATAAAGAGAAAATTGTTAAAGACGTCTCATACCGAAGAACGAAGCGTTCATACAAATTGAGAAAATTGCAACATACGACTTAGACCGTAAAAAAATCATTTTAATTTCTAACAAATGATTCAGATATTACAACCTATAGTCATCGATTATCTTTCGCCACATTTATATATAGTTGATTTTTCATAATATGTTTCAATTGTTATGATGTGAGAGTTACTTATAAAAACATTTATTCCTGTTTCGAGGATTTTTGGTAATGAAGACGACATTTTCATATTTTCCAGGAATGTTCGAAAACAAGTTGTAAGCTAAATATTATTTTAAAAAACGAAATCAAAACTAGCATGAAATATCAAATATATATAAATGTGGCGAAAAATAATCGATGACTATAGGTTGTAATATCTGAATGATTTGTTTGAAATTAAATTGATTTTAATGTCGTATGTTGCAATTTTCTCAATTTGTATGGACGCCATGTTATTCGGTATGAGACGTCTTTAACAATTTTCTCCTTATAGACGCAACAGATAGAAGTAAGATTAGAAGCAATCAAAAGCGCTTTTTTATTGCATTAAGCCTATACCCCCTTTCATTTTTCGCGAACACTCCCTTTAAACCTGATTATTTTGTAAACTGTATAAAACTGTATTAATATTTCTAAAAAGATTCAAAGCTATTTGGGATCTCATGTACTGTTGATATTAAGATCAGTGCTTAATCTCGATCTTTCGTGAATCTTCAGATTAATTTAATCTTTATTCAAAATTCCGCATGGTTATCGTGCCTTGTCGGAATAATTGAAATAAGAAGTTAAAGCTTTGATCCTCAAATTAAAAGTGCCCACAATCTATATCAAGCTCTCGCTATTGGAATTATGAGTATCCAACAAAAAAGTTCCCAGCCATATGTAACAGTTACAATTTTTAAAATTTTAGTCCTGTTTCTCATTAAACATTTTAAGTAAAGACGACTTTCATCACACTATACAATAGCTTCTGTTTTTTATTTTTTTTTTGTTAGAGTTTAACTGAATTTTTCAGGACTATAGTTGTGTACTTGTCTACAAGATTTCCAATAGATAAACATTGATAAACCATTTAACAGAACTTACGCATGCATCAGTATATATAACTGGAATATAGAGTAGGACTGGGCTGGGCATTTTCTTAATTTATTTAATTAATATTTTACTTTTTTAATGAGGGCATTATAATGGATCGTTAGTTTCATGTGTCTTCTTTTCAAAATCCTTTCATAAAATGTTTGTTTTGTTTGTTGTTTTAACTAATGTTTTTCCATCGTCCCACCTTCATTTATCTTTGAACACTGCTTAAAAAATTATTTTCAGGTTATAGCCTTAAGTCTTCTTTTGTTGCTAAAAACGGAATTATCTTAATATTATCAACGGCGTTTACTGCAAATATTTCAGAAATCGTTATCGTTAAAAAGCTGTTATACCTGTCCCTATTTTTGGCAAATATTTCCGCCCCCCCCCCCTATGATATTGCCCTTAGAGTTGAGATAAGGGAGTGTGATACATTACATGTCCCTAGACCTTTTCAAGGCCTGCTTATTAAAACAAAATTAGACCTCTAACTGTAATGGTAAGGGTGTAATGAAGGACTTTTTAAAAGTTAAAAAAAATTTCAAAAATAGTTATTTTTACTTTTAGCAAATATTAACATATGACACATGTTATAATATATCCAATTTTCAAGGGCCTTTTAAATGTCTTAGCGCTATAGCTTTATTAATTAATTAAAAAGTTTTCTAATTTTTTTGAAACACCGACCCCTCGTTTAACCGTCTTCAACCCTACCCTTTACATAAAAAAATGTGGGCCAAATTTTTGTACAACTATTATGTTGAAAAAATTAAAAAAATTTAGTTTTCTAATTCAAGCTGTTTTTAAGTTATTCAGAAGAAAACACAGGGGGGGGGTATAAAACACCCCCCCCCCCAATCGTGTTAGGGTTAACGACTATGTCTTTGTGAAATCAGCTAAGCACATCCTTCATTTTTAAAATAGATCTTTTTTTCTTTTGTTAAATATTGCTTTTTTTCATTGTTTCGCGTTTGTTTCTTTATGATCGTTCCTCTCGAAGAACGGTTTAATTGCTGTCGTGTTTTCAGGACGAACTGTGGTTGTTAACGGTAAACTACGTCCATTAACGACCGTTGACTAAATATATTTGAATAAAACAAAATACATTTTTATCTTTTGCATTGTACATCCATTTAAAAGAATTACAATCTACTATTGGCCATGAAATTAGATTGAAACAGGGGAAACCCCAATATACAGAAATCCTTTTGCAAAAAAAGCTTGTTTTCATTCAATATCCCATTGGAACATATTTCGTGAACATATATTTAGATTTAATAAGAAAGTTGTTTTGGAATTATGGATCTCCATTAGCTCCATCCTCTGAATAGATAGGTTGGCCAGTACATAGCACAAGATGATTTCCTCTATCTTATCTGTTGTGGATTTTGAATGTTCGATCTTGATTTTATGGTAATCCGCAGATCAATCTAATCTTTAACAATATCCCGTAACCTGTATGAAGGAATAACTAAAATGAAGATTGAACGCTGATCGTCAAATGCAAAAGTGTCCTGAGAGGATATCAAGATCTGTAGATCAGGATAATGAGTCTCAACACAACTCCTATGACAGGAAAACGGAACAGTACAGTACACCAAATGAAAAACTTTGTTTATAGAAATAAAAGAGTGGACTCTTAATAAAATAGATCAGTCAAACTGTCCTCAAAGAACCCCGAGTTTCTTAAAGTAAAAAGATGTATTTCTATCTTAAGTACTAAGCTTGGCCGCTTCGCACCCATCTTTTATTTCAACTTTTACTTTTGTGTTATACATAAAGGTGAAGTTTAAAACCTGAAATATATTAAGGTCTCTAAAAAATGTAAAATTTCAACCTTCAGCAACTGCAGAATTGTCCTCACAAGTTCCATTAGAGTACATTTTATCTGCAAACAAGTAAAAATCATAAAAAATTAAAATGTAATTTTACCAATTTAATTTTGTCGTGTATTTTTTGATAACCTGATACGGAATAAAAAATAGTTTTTTACTTATTAGTTCTTTTTCTCCAACCGCAAAGTAATAAGAGAGAAAACTTGTTTATTCCTTATAGTAATTCATTAAAGAGACTGTTTGTGTTATTTTTAAGTAACCCTTCGTTTAAAGAGGGTCATGTGTGATTTATGATTTATGATTTTTAGTTTCCTGCAGCTGAATTGCACAAGTGACTTTTGAAGAGAAGCTTCAATTAAAAATAATCAGTTTTTAAAATTATAAACACTAATATCTAATTTATACTTAATCATCCACGCGTGGTGATTCTGGATTCACAATTTTAAAATGGAGTGCCACGTAAAATTACGCTTACAGTCCCTTTCATCTGGTATGGTCTGGTCATGGTTTACGAAACATTTCGTGATGAAAAAGTACAAAATTAAAATTGTAAACTAAAAAAAATAAATTTTTCCTGAGATAATTTCTTGTCTAAATGTATCTAAAAATATCATACAAAATATCAATTAATCAATTAAACTTATTTCTGAAAAGAAAAGAAACACTATAATTTGGACCACAAGATATCTTTAAGTAGTAAGATTAACGTGATTTGTAATGTTTTAGGTCCGTGTTTAAACATTTTAAATTTTATTTTTAACTTTTAAGATGATTTTAAGGAATCTGAGTTATAAAAAATCGTTTTGAAAAATGGTTTTGGTTGATATCTTTAATCAATGCAATAAAAGCAAACTTATCGGAACACAATTTTACGATGTAATAAATAACTCACGTTCTTGGGGAACACTTGTAAGTTAGAACATGAAAAAGTTATAAACGTTTAAAAACTGTGTTGTACAATGTACAATGTATAATGTATCTACATATATCATGTATCAATGTATGAAGAAACACTTCACCCGACTGCGAGAAATCTGAGAACTAGGGAAAAACCTGGGTCTCTGCTGTCTCCGGAGATAAACTGAGACTCTATATATTCTCCGAGCACTACTCTTTTTCTCTTTTATATCATACCTTCGGAAAATAATTTAGGGCCCCTCTGAAGCTAAATGTTTTCTTAAGAGTCTGATTACAAAACCAATTGATCAATTTTAAAGAAATTGATCAATTTTAAAGAAATTGATCAATTTTAAAGAAATTGATCAATTTTAAAGAAATTGATCAGTTTTAAAGAAATTGATAATTTCTAAAGAAATTGATCAATTCTAAAGAAATTGATCAATGCTAAAGAAATTGATCAATTCTAAAGAAATGGGTCAATTTTCTGGATTTTTTTTGCGAGTTTTGCGAGTTTCATGGGAAATAAAGTAGTTTTGTCTGAAGTCTTGTTTTCTTAAATATATTTTAATAGTGCCCTCGATCATTTTAATTTTCCTATATTCCTTAATATACTCCTTATATACTTAGACCATTTGATCTAAAATAAATCACAGGTTAAAAGATATTTGGGTGCAAATATAATGTGATATGAAAGAATCATTTCCGTTGTCGATTTTGATCAACAATTTTCAATTAAAAAGTTTTTTACTAAAAATTTTGTAAAGAAGTTACAAAATCTAAATCATCTAAATATTTTCCCATATTTTGTTTTTGGTTAAATTGTTTAGGAAAAGAAGAAATTATGTTTTTTTTGTAGATTTTCTAAATTTATCCTGTTTTTTTGCTGAAAAATATTTTCAGCTGCAATCTATAATTGGAGATTTGCGGATTTGCAATTTTTTGTAGATTCTAAATACGACGTGAACACAATAAATATCAAATAAGAATTTATGTTTAGTTGAGAGTGGATGAAAAAGGTTTCTACATGCTTCTTATTTTTTGTATTCTAGTATCAGCAAACAAAAATGGATGCAACTTTTATTAAACTGTGCAATCAAAAGGTTTAAAGATCCTAGATTCCTGAACAATTTTTAAAAACAAAATCTCAATTTGAGGGCAGAACTTTTGATTTTCTAATCCCTTAAAACTGCACTAAACCAAACCTTTTGTGGACCAACCCATATAGTGAAATTATAGCAAATATCTATAATAGTATAGAAAAAGTAAAAAATAGTTTTTATTGATAAGATACTTAATCGGTTCAAATCTGACGTCAAGCTTAACCTTAATCGGATTATTTTAATCAAAAGTTTACACCTCTGTTTTGTATATTTATACTACAGTATCCCTAGAATCCATGTGAACTGGCAATCTGTCTAATTCTTAGTTAATCCTCTATATTCTGTTTCCATTGTAAACAAGAGAATTAACTTTGAAAATAAGCATTTTTCTTTTTAGTCTGAAGATTTAGAATTATATTGAAAATGCAAATCTAAAATATAGATTTTTTTGTCTAAATGCAATATCAAAAGATTACATTTAAATTAGGGTTGGTAGATTTTGGAACCAAGTTTAGGATCCTATAGATATACCTGCGTTTAAATATTCTGGCAAATTTTCCCCCCAAAAAATAATCAAAAATTTAAAAAATCCACAAAATTAATAAAAAATTGCGGCAACCATTTATTTAAAAATAATTGAAAGGAACTGTCGTTGTAATGTTGTCAAAAAAGGGACGTGCCAAATGCACAACGAAATCATTTAAACATTAATCCGGAATAAAAAGTCGTTTTTCTAGGTTCAAACAATTTCCTCATATGTTTTCTTTGAAAAAATCCGCAAGTCACTGAAATAGAGAACCCGTATTTAAAGATAAGTAATGGCTATCGCAGTCAATCTATTTTACCGTTGTGAAACAAAAATAGCACATTTAAAACTACGTCACCAATTTGTCGTAGAAAAGTATGATGTTTTTGTTTAGCTTTAATAACATCATCTTTTATTCAAAAGAAAGTACATAGAATAAAAATTAAAATAAAGTTTTTAACAGCCTGTCTTTTGCTTCAATTAAACTTTGTAAGTAACTCAGAAAGTAAATATAATAAAAAAGCAGGGAAGAAAATCAATTTTCGGTAGAAAAAACTCTAATTTGAATTATGTTAGATTAAAAATTCTAAGTTTGACATATCAAGAATCTACAACCTAAGGTTTCCAAGATAAAGAGATAAAAAGAATTTGAGTTTGTGGCAAAGACTCAATTCATTTACCAAATTGCGACTAAATATAATCTTTAAAAGTAATGATAGTTAAAAGGACTGTGATTGTAATTTTATATGACCCTCAATTTGAAAAGAGATATGCCCAACGTCATATGCACTAAGATATCCTTGAACCCTTATCTAAAAATATATTTTCTAGCTAGCACTATAGTTTCAGTAGAAGTAAATATTTCCATTTACTGATAGCGCCGATTGAAGGATTCATAACTCTAATTGGATAATCAGATAGACAGAAAGATAGACGTTACCTCCATGCTATTTTTATTGGTTCAAAATAGACAACAAACACATGACTGAACCCTGATTGGATGAGGCGCTAATGACTCGGCATACATGAGTGCTAGGTTGAAACGTGTGAAATTAAACTGCAGGAAAGACAAGAAAAGCAGTGGCAAGAAAATAAATTATTTTTCAATTTCCCCCAGACATCGAAACAGGAAATTCAAAATTCCATATTTCTTCCAAAACTGAAATACCTTCTGATAATATTTAGTTTTTTATTCTCTTCGACCTTGTATAGTTAAGTCAAAGGATTTCTGAAACAAATATATTGTTTCATTACTAGAAAACAATGGAATATTATAAATGGACAACATTATATAGCATTAATAAAGTGGATTTGACATTTTAAATTAATAAAAGTTTTAATAAAAACTTAATTAAATTAATTCTAAAGTAAAATGGGACTGCTTACGCCTTACACTGCAAATTTGTGTGTCTCATTTCATTATAATATTTAAAGCCTAAAAGTTGTCTTTTTTTTCTAGAGTTTTCTGGTTCACATTGTTTAATGTTTTGTTCGTAGCACGCACCTCTGACCCTTCAGTAAAAGTAAATTTAGCCTAAAGTCTGATCCGCGTCAACCTTGTTGCACCGGCTAGTCCTATTGACTGTCTGCTTTATTTACCCAATGTCCGGGCGATACAGTACAAACTGGGACCGGAAAGGTTGACCCGGCTCGGAAATTCAAATGTACTACAGCTGCCAGTGGTAGAAAAAGAATATTTGTTTAAAGATCTTAAATTTACTGAGACATGATTTCTAGATATCCTTAGAGAGTTGCACGCTCGATTCTCAACTGTACCCGGAAATTTTAGGAAAAAAATTTCATTTTGAACTGTGGTTTCTTTATAAAAGTGACTTGAAAATTAGAATAAATAATTCTACAGTTTCTTTTGTGAAAAATACATGTTTGATTTCTTGCCTCAAACTCTAATTTCCAAATCCCATTGTTGCAATCTGTGAACTGGAGAATTCAAAGTTAGAAATATTAAAGCAAATTTCCACGAAACCAGGTTGCAATCATGAAAAGATAGAAAAAGAATAAGGCTCTTTAACTTTATAATTCACGTGGATTTAACAGTTCTGTCAATATTCCAGAAAGCTGTGACTTTCGATCACAATTTGACCCTGAAACATAATTTGTTAGCCTTTTTTTCAAATACTTTTTTGTTGGCATATGCATTTTGAATGAAAATGTATAACATAAACAAATCCGTAAAGTAAATGATTATTGAATTAAAGACCAAAACACGTTTGATTTCAAATAGAAGAAACCGAATGCTGCTCACTCTGGTTAGTCCGGTGTGAATTTGTCCAAAAATTATTCCATGGTTAAAATTTAAAATATTTTTCGGAAAAAATGATAAAAGAATATTGTTATTATAATTGGTAAATGGTAAATTGCCACAAAACACTAAAAAATAAATAGATTATCTAATTTAAACATAATTATTTATAAATTAATGATATCTACCATGCAATGTTTGTTTTTGATCGTGTATTTTCTGATATTATTTATTATCTATAGGCATAGAGTAATAAAACGAAGAG